TCATCATCATCATCTGCTTCTTCTATATCAGCAGGGTCTCTTGGATCAACAACTTCTATAAATGTCTTAAATGCTGCTTCAAGGAATGAAGCTTGAACGTCTGGATTTAATGAGGTATGTTTAACATTAATTAAATGTCTTAACATTTGTAATGTTTCTTCACTAGTTAAATAATAAATATATTCACCAACACACCAAGCACATTCAACAAGTAAATTTGAACCACTTGCCATTTGAAGGAAATTATGAGAAGTAATAATAGTTTTTAAAAGTGTTATACCAAATAATCTAATGTCTGGTACTCTTACCATAATATTTGATATTTCTTTAGAAACAACATTAAATACAGATTGTTCTAATTGTTGAGTTGATAATCTACTTAAAAGTTTTAAATACCATTCAAAGTCAGTAACATTATCATAATTATCTTTCTTAATAATTTCAATAATTTTTAAGAATAATTCATCTCTATAATATGAATTTTCTGATTTTTCTACAATTACTAATAATTTATCTACTGTCTCACAAATATTCTTTTTTGTTACCATTCCAATTAATAATTCAAGTGCTGTTCTTCTTAATGAATCATCTGGATCTGATAAACATGCTAATACTGTATCTCTACTTTCAATTACTGCTTTAGGATGTTTAGTCATCATTAATCCAAGAAGTTTTAATCCACAATATCTTATATTTCCTTCATTGTCTTGAATCATCATATTAATTTTTCCAAGACATGTTTTCATTGTTGGAATATGTTTATTTAATCCAATAATACATGCATTAATTAATTCAAATAAAATAGGACTTGTAATATTACTTTGTAATAATGAGTTAAATGGTTCTACAAGAATTTTAGCTAATCTTAATTCAACTGATGCAAGCATTCCAAGTATTTTAATAGCCTTTGTCATAAGTAAATCATTATTTTGATTTATTGGTTCTTTAATAATTTCATATAATATTGGTGCAAGTGAAATATATTGTTTTGGTTCATGTTTAACTAATTCAACAAATGAAACACATGCTGCTGCAACAACTGTAGGATCACTATCTTTTAATTTTTCTTTCATTTTAGCAAATGATGGTCTTAATGCATCTGGATATTCTTTACACATTGGATACATCATTAAACATGCTCTTCTTCTTAAAAAATCTTTTCCTGATGTAAGAAGTTTTACTAATTCAGCTGCAAGATCACGAGCAAGTGATTCATTAACAATAGCAGAAAAACATGCACATGCATTACAACTTTCATATGCTGTTCCTTGAAGATCTTTCTTTAATTGATTAGTAATTAACATTAAAACATCATCACTTTCATGTAAACAAATTTGTGCAGCAAGATAAGCAACTCGTTTCATCCAAAAAGATTGTTTAGCAGAAAGTTCAATGATATGAAATCCTGACCAATTTGTTTCTTGTCCAAGCATTTCAAGATATGTTAATTTTTGAATACAAATCGCTTTCCTCTTCATATCTGATGTTACTATGTCTTTCTTAATATCTGCAATCGTTTGATTAATAAATGCTTGTTCATTTCCTGCATTTGATCTAAGTCCTTTTACCATATCTTGTAATGATGTACCAATTAATGGTTTAGCCATTGTTTCTTTTATTCTTTTTTTCATTAAACTCATTGCTTTTAATTGAATTATCTTCTTTTAAAGTTCTCAAAAACTAATTATTTATTTTTCATATTAATTTTATTATATTTTTATCAAATTATTAATTATTAGAAAATTTAAGGAAAGAAGAATATTAAAATTCAAAATCTATTCTTTTTTTTTGTTAATTAAATTATTTGAAGTAATTTATTTAATTAAATTCTATTTCTATTGTATTATAATAATTAAACTAATTTATAATTTTTTTTTAAATATTAATATAATTCAATTTATTCTTTAACAATAGTATCAAGTTGAAAGGAATTAAATAATTTTGTTTCTTGATTTGCTATCTACATTTTTCAATTCAAAATTTACTTTTATTTTTATTTGACTGATAGAAACCAGTCAATATAATAATGATCCAGCATAAATCTTATGAGTGCTTTTATTTATTGTGTTATTTGATAATGTTATTATTTAGCTTAAATTAATAATCGTCTTAGTGATAGACTAAAAGAAACACAATTCATTTTTAATAAACCCCATTTATTCTTAGTTTATTTATTAACACTCATTAAATTGTTTTATTATAATTTTTTACTTTTCTTTTTCTCATAGAATTTGTTTCTATTTGGTTTTATTTCATATTTCTTTTAATAATTAGTGTTGTATTTTCTTGTTATTCTTATTCATACAAAATAGTTAATTAATATCTTCCTTCTTTCTATTTCTTTGTTGTTTATATTGTATTTTTTGATTAACTTCTATACTATAAAAAGACTGTTAAAATAATTTATTTATATTATCAATGTATTGT